TTGTTGACATTATCAGTTCTAAAATAGCTTCGCTGAAAATTCTACACGAAAAAAGGAAGATAGCTGGACGAATGTGACTGTGTCTAAACTAACACTAACCCTCACCTGATAGACGAGTTCTCAGGTCGGTCATTCACCCCAACCTAGCAGCAGCTAAGCTAGCAACACATAAACAACTATCAACTGTCAACAGAAGTGTGAACCTTTGCATTAATGAACTATATTTAGACAGTCATACATAATGTGACAGATTCCACCAAAACTATTTGTGTCAGTGCCTTTTGGGTCAAATACACATCTGCTTTCAACGATTTTCGAGCGCAAGGAAAGAAAGAAAATATAGGGGAGATCATGGTGTAAGGAAACTAATTACTACGAAATGATTATAAAAACAAGACGGGGATATATGTGCCGGCTGGTACAGGTGTGAAACAATAGCGACTGGAAAAGAATCTACATATTTACCTTCGCCAAGAAGGTTATGTTTTCAGAGGCGTTCGTGTATGTGTGTGTGTGTGTGTGTGTCTGTCTGTCTGTCAACAGCATAACTCGAGAAAGCTTAGATGGATTATCTTGATATTTGGTAGGTGGGTAGGTCTTGATGAGACCTCAAAATGATTAGATTTTGGGCCCCCTGGCGGCTTGTCATGGTACTGCAGCTGAACTTCCGGTTTTGATATCTCAGGATCCAGACATGCTAGGGTGACGAAATTTGGATGGCAGGTAGCCCTTGTGCTGGGGATGAAGTGACATGAGTTTGAGCCCCCTAGTTGCTTGCTCTAGAACTGCAGGGGGGTTTAAAGGACAAATGTTTAAAAGAGGATAACTCAAGAACCGATTGATGGATCATCGTGATTTTTGGTATGTAAGTAGCTTGAGTGATGCTTGACATAATAATATTACAATTATGCAAATATTGATGTAATTTGCATAATTAATGAGGAAATTCTATAAATCAGCTGCATACCATGATAGGAAGTTCAAGCTTGTAACATATGTTATTAAGAACGAGAAAAACACAGGCAAATATCGATTATGCAAATGAAGACTTAATTTGCATAATTAATGAGAAAATGTTATAATTGCATAGTGGTAACTGCCTGAAATTTCATACTTGGGATGTTTGAAAGTTAAGTG